TTCTTAGGGGAGGGCGGGGCGGTTGAAATGTCCCACAGTGTGGAAAGCACAAACAGGGGCCTTTCTCTTTTCCGATGGAAATGCTCGACACCCCTGCAAGGTCACTCAACGGGACAGAGCCCCTCTGGACGGGTCGGGACACCAGTGGTCTTTGATTCGGGGGAGGTAACTCGAAAGTAGAGAGGAGCAGGTGCGGGCTCTGGGCTCCGCTCAGCAGGCAAGGTGTTTGCCAGCAAAGCCTGTCTGAGTGGGAAGAAGCGTGGGGGGTCCCTTCTGTGATGCCCCTCGGAAAAGATCAACGTTGGATAAGTGCTACCAAAATAAGTTTTGGGAAGTGGTTTATTCCATCTTGAGGAGGGAGACATTGTAAGATTTTGGGTTAATGACCTCGGAAGCGATGTATTATGTCCTTCTGTTATTTTAGTTTTTGTCATTTAGTTTTTAATGGAGAATTTCAAACACCTACTAAAGCAGAGAGACAGCATAGTGATACCTACCATCGTCTTCGACAGCTGTCAACTCGTGGTCAGTTTGTCACACACTCCCTCCACCTCCCCCCAGTCTTATTTGAAGCGAATGCTAGAAGCCATATCATTTTCATCTCTTCGTGTTTCAGCAGGTATCTCTAAAAGAGAAAGATCTTTTAAAAATAAAACTGCAATACCCACACCTAAAAAAATTAACAACTCCGTAACATCGTCAAATAGCTAATTACTGTTCGAACTGCCAATAGTCTCACGAATGCCATACTTTAATAGATTCCTTGAATCGGGATCCAGATAGAAGCCACACATTGCAAAAATCAATGGGACCGCCCTCCATTTCTCTTTTTCTCCCCCTTGCAACTTCCTTAGTGAAGAAATGTCTCTCACTCTGTTTCCTTCGGGCTGGATTTGGCTGTTTGCATCCCTGCGGCATAATACACAGTTTTCCTGTACCTCCTTCCTAATGCTTGTATTGCCTAAAAACTAGAAATTATATCTAAATGCTTGGTCAGATTCAAGCTTGATTTTTTTTTTTTCTTTTTTTTTTGGTCATGACTGTTTTGTAGCATTTGCTTTCATCAGAAGGGACCCGATGTTAGTTTTCTCTCTTTCGTGCCGTCATCAGCCATTGAGGTTCAGTGCCAGGTCTCCCGCTATTTCTGGTTTGCCCATCTCTTTTGTTCTCTGTCACCTCGTGAGCTGGGGCTTCTGGGCAAGGCTGGGTCACAGACCAAGGTCTCTTGGCTTTGGGCTACTAAGAATTTTCAGCAATCCATCACCTCAGAATTAGGTTTGGTTTTTAAAACTCATCCTCACAAATTAATCATTCAGTCTACAGCCATGCCACCCTGAACGAGCCCGATCCCGTCTGATCTCGGAAGCTAAGCAGGGTCAGACTTGGTTAGTACTTGGATGGGAGACCCCCTAGGAAGACCAGGTGCTGTAAAAAATAAACAAACAAAATAAATACGGGATTATAAACTGACAAGGTCCTTGTAATCTGTGAGGTCAACTAAGGGTTGCCTTGCCTAAAAAAAGAAACCAAAACCAAAAACAAAAACTAATCATTCAGCTCAATTAATGGACTTTTAATAAATAAATACAATAGCACCAAAACAGAAAGACAAATTCCGAAAGTACGCAGGTGCAGCGTTCTTACTGAACAACCGGACCGTCGTTTTGGGCCTCTCTCGCGATCGTCCATTTCCACTGCTCTTACAATACCCGTTGTCGATCCTCTGTGAATTTTACTTGACTACTGATGTCACGCCCTCTGAGAACCAGGCTGTCTGGAATGTGCGGACCTTAGCTTCTTGCCGACCTCAGATGCCTCCCCCGGGAGGACCTCAGGGAGAACCACGCTCTGCCATCCTCTTTTCTCAAGGGCCATGAGCCTCACCGGTCTCTGCCCTGGATTCAGATGGTGTCTTCCGAGCTGAGCAAATTCACCTCCCTCCTTTCCTCCTTTCCTCCTTCCCTCCTTCACTTTTCATTCAGCATGATAATCTCTCCCCCACGTCTAACCACCTGACACTAATAAAATCTAATCTCGGGCATGGAAAACCGTGAACTTGACTCTCTCCGCCCAAAGCCGTGTTCCCAGAAGTGTGGGGATGTGTTCGGTCAATTAACAAACCCTGATACGTTCCAGCTACGTCCCGGGAGTGTAGGGAGACGGACAAAGCCACAGCTCCACAGAAATGCAAACGAGAACAGATGCAGACCGAGTGCCATGTGACAAGTAACCGGTGACGCTGCCAGGGAAAACTGGGGAAGGGCTTAATCTGGGAAGTGACATTTAAACTAAGTCTTTGGAGAATATGATTAAGATAGCGTGAAAACAGTTAAGGAAAACATCACGTAAAGGTACGTGGGTTTATTGAGGCGCAAACCCAAGTTCCTGGCTAACGGACTTGACTCTTGTGTATGGCAGCAAGGTCCCATGTTACATTTACCCATTAAAGAAACTGAGACTCGCAATCTCTCACTCCCCACACACGTATGCAGCTATGCGTGAGCATAAAACATCACATTTCTCAGCATTCCCGCCCCTTTAGTGGTGGGAGAAAGAACTCTGGGGTGTGGGCAGTGTAAGCATGTTGTAGGTCACGGTCACCTCCGTTCCTTCACTGTGGCAGGGTCTTGTCCTTCAGGTTGGGAATGGAGGACCGCAGTCCCCAGGGTGTGGGCTCCTGAGCGGCTGCAGGGGTCTGCAGGTCCACATGGGTGCCAGGCCCTGAGTCATCTGTGGTCCCCTGTGTAGAGGTGTCGCCATCCTTCCAATGTATGTAAAATAAGTGTCGTCGTTGTGGTACAGAGCCATTAAAAGTGTCACTGAAGTCACGGTGCTCACTCCGTCATTCTATATGGTTTTTGAATAACGCGCTAAAATAAAATTGCTATCTCACACGTTTGAGGGTATGAGCATGTGGCCTGTGCTCGGGAATTCCTTGAAAGTTTTTAACGTTAAAAGGGGCCTTTTTTTAAAGATAGGTGCTGTTGATGGTCCAACAGCAGTGTGAATGGACTTAATATCGATGAATTTTACACTAAAAATGGTCGTAGTGGTGAATCTTACATTGTGTAATGCCACAATGAAAAAGCCTATAAAAAATTTTTTTTAACCTACGACAAAACACACACACACACACACACACACACACACAAGTAAGAGGATCTCGTATTTGAAGAAACTGGCTGCCATTGGCCTAGAGCTTTGGCGAATGTGGCAAATGTTTGGCTACGGCCAAGCCATGCTCTGCCCTGTCACTCACTCCACGTTCTGGGAGAAACAGAGGGCCCAGCGTTTTCTGGAGCCTGTGGTCCAGTGGAGGTGGCACTCGGCTCATCACGCATGACCGTGTGGCTGTACCACGTGATTCCACACTGTGATGTGGCTTTGCGCTCTCTAAGTGCCGAGGAAGGAGAAGTATCTGGGCTTTGCAGGCACGTAACGGGTCCAGACGTGTCGGGAGAGGATGCAGAGACAGGCGTCCCTGAGGAAGTGACAGTTGTTGGGCTGACCGAATACAGATAACTCTCGTAAGAGGCCATGGACCACTCTTACCGTCTCCGACTCCCCCGCCGGTGGCGGGACCCTGCTCGTCAGCGTTCCACCACACATTTGACAGTTGTTAGCCCTCAGTTACCATCGGTGCTGGAGAAATAAAGCATTGAGTAGAAATGTTTGTACGGGGTTTGTTCCAGGGACATCTGTGGGACTCGGCACCACGCGTTTTCACTTCCTCGGTTTTCATATTCGTATTTTAACTGGTTTGACAAAGAACTTCAGATGGCATTGTAACCTTCACGTGCACAGAAAGCTTTGCGTGTAATTGCTGTGTTTGTCTTCCTGAGCAGTCAGCCGGACCTGGTTGGTGCCCCTTCGATTGTTTTTCGTTCTCACTGACATTTTCGTATCCGCTCTCCCACTAGTATGTTCTCGATAGCATATTCTGAAGAGAAAAATGTTAATTCACCCTTAATACAGTATTCCCTTTATTTTAGATAAATACACATTTTGAAACTAGGTTTTGCAACTGAGATAGAGCGGTTGATGCCTTTGGCTCTGGGTAAAGCTTCAGACAGCCAGACTGAGACCACCACAGGCACCTGTCTCTTCAGGAACAAAGACCCCGAGGGTGGGGGGCTCGCATCCACCTTGGGCTCACATCCCCTTTTCAGTTGGAGGAGGGTATTAGAGAAGTGAAGCCAGGAGCAGGGCTGCCTGATTTGCAAAACGTGCATGGGGTCCTTCTAGGACGACTACCTTGGCCGAAGTTCACCATTATTTTTTGACATGTAACTTTTGCGTGGTTTCTAATCCTAAAGCAAATTGGGGTCGATAGTAATATCCATACCCGCCCCCCCAAAAGAGACAGGTAAGGATAAATAGATATAAAATGCAGTGCTAGAGGGTCGGTTAAGGCTTCCTAATGTAAACAAAGGTGTAATGATGAGGAAAATCATGAATTATGTCTGTAGAACTTCATCGCTTCCTGGATTATTTCTGCAGAGATCAGGATGAGTTGCAAGTCACACAACGTGCCCCAAATTCACTGATTACTCCTGGTAAATGTGCGGTTGGTTGATGGACTCGCTCTCAACACCAGTCTAATAATTGGGCAGTATTTTGTTTCTAAAGCTAGAGACGTAGAATAGGGTATCACTTTCAACTTTATTATCTGTCAAGTCTCATGATACATAGTGAAATTTGCCAGACGAGTTCCATAGTTTTTATTATGTGGATTCCATTGAAAACACTGGAACACTTAAAGGATCTGCTTTTTCAGTTTTGCTCGAAGAAGAGGTGTGTGTCAAGATGGATGGTAAGAATCGTGACAGAGATCAAGTGCTGTACAGTAAGGGGGAGTTCCTTACTCGTTTGAAAACCGGCACCTGTTCATCCCATAAAGAGAAAAACAGATAAGGAAAATTATAACAGTAATGATAGTTCTTTGGGAATATTTAAGAGCCTCTGATAATTTTTCTTGTATGTATTCTTTTGCTGTCTAGGAGAAACCATTGACGAAATCCCTACAACGTGGAGAAGACCCCCAATTTGACCAAGTATGTCACATGTTATATATTGGGTTTTATTCATTTCAAAACGCACAGAAGGCAAGGGCTGGACGCTCACTGTCGTGGTGTTGATGGCCTTCCACAGAGCGGACGTGGGTTGGGGTCTTAGCAACTGGTCCCGCCGCATTCATAGTCATGCTCGTAGGGGATGCGCAGGAAACGTCTATTGATTTGAATCGGAAAGAACTGGAAAGTGTTGGAACGATGTGACTGGGCCTTCGATTGTTTCCTAAATCTCTGTGTGCCAGAATTATAGAAACAGAGAAAAGATAAAGGAAGTTCTGTTCAAACACTGATAGGGAGTCCTCTGAATACACGATATAGCAGGTCCTCGAATGACATGTCATTTTGTTATACATTGATGAGGTGCCATAGGAACTTAACTCGTATCAATCGGACTCTGGTAAAATCAGTTTTGTTGTATGTTTTGCTAAGAGTCACAGGCTGTGGGCGAGGTTAAGTGAGGGCTGACTGTGCTGTGTGACGGTCACCGGATCTCTGCGTCAGAGCTTAAGCGTGGTTTATCCTATATTTTCTCGAATGCTCGCTGTTCGCTTGACACTGTGCTAGGCACTGGCGATACAGAATCTAGGAAAAGTATTCACAGTTCTGGGAGAGAGAAACCACCTAACTTATAATTATAAAACAGTGTAGTCATTTAGATTCTAATCAAGAAACCGAAACATGAACAAAACAACATAAGACAATATAAATGCAAAGAAAGCCTTTGAAAATAGGTCGGGACTAGTGAAAAGGCCTCCAACTCTAAGCAGTAGGTGACAAACAGGTAGCGGGGCCTGACAGACCCCGTCAGTGAGTTCGGGAAGGCTGTGGGCGTGTCGAAGGAAGAGGGACAACAGGACATCGCAGGAGGCTGGAGACGTGTTCGTGGTGTTTCTAAACTTCTGCAGTTCATGAGAAACAGGCCAGCATGTTCCTCTCCTAGCCTCACAGCGCTGCTGGGGACACCACGGCCTGCTTTCACGCAGTCAGGGTTTACTGTCTCACAGAGAACACGCCGAGAATGTACTTTTAAATTGCCTTTAATGTGGCATCAGGAGGAATACTTTCTGGCCGTTCATGGCTAGTCTCGTTTGACCCAAAAATGTAGGGACCGTAGAGACAGCAGCCTTCATTCTGCATCTGGGGAGCTCTCCGCGCTCACGCGTTTGTGCTCATGGCCGGTCTCCATGCCGCTGTGGGTCTGGTTCGCAGTTACCGGCAGAGCTGGCTGGTGTCTGGAACGCTGCTGAAGCGGAGTGCGGGCTCTCCCTCTGTGTCATGGAGCTGTCTTCTCCAGTCATCGTGGCCTCGGTTGTTGTCACCTGGTGACGCTTGGGTGATCAGAGGGACCCTGGGTGAATGTTTGGGGTCATTATTTTGAACACGTGGTGAGTCGTGGCTCTCTCTGTACTTTTTAAGAATGCAAATATTTATCTTCTGTCTTCCATAATCTTTTACTCTATTTTGTATTTTTTATCTCTATCAGATTATCACTGTTCTTTCTTCAAAAAAAAAAAATGTTATTTTTCTCTAGCTCTTTCTCGAGTCTCTGCGAAACAGTATATCTAAATTTTAACGCTGCCCGTAATAGTTATCCCAAATAATTTTAAGCTCGAACACAATTGCTCACTTATTATCCAGCACTCTATTTCTGCATCTCGGCATCATGGACAAGAGATGGCCTTTGGAATCGGAGAGACCTGGGTTTAAATCTTCACTCTGCCACTTACTTAGCCGAAGTACTTTTAACCTCGCTGCTCAAAATATTGAAATGTGGAATCCCTGCTCTGCCTCCTATCTACTGAGTCAGATTCCACAGCTCACCAGGCCCCGCAGGCGGCCCTGACCCACGCCGAGGAATGCTGGAGAAGCGCCACTCTGTAACACATCTCTGTGCATTAAAGACGCTCTAGGAGGGCACCGGCAGTGAGACGGTCACTGGCAACTTTTAAATAAGACACGTATGATTGTCCCCCGATCATTGAACCATAGATTTACACGCGAACCGTGAGAAAAGGCCGTCTCCAAAGTCTAGCTCACTTTAAAGCTGTAGCGAGACTCCCGGGCCACGCGAAAACTCGGCTGAAGTTGGTCCCCCTGTGGGTTCGATGAAAAAAAAAGTCGGCGAAGTCACCTTTGAAGGTGACCGTCCGCTACTCGGGTAGCAAACTGTAAGAACTGCGGTTGCATTGGCAAGGCCGCAAATGTATCGTGCTCACTTTGTCTTCTGACGTTAAATGTTTAAATCATGTGATTCCCCTTGTTGCGACTCCGAGCAGTAGGATTTTGGTCTGGATTGACACAGAGGTCTACCAATGGGAGAAGAACGTGCCGACAGTGCCACCTTAACTGGTACAGATGCCGTGGCTGTAACTGTGGGAGCAGTAGTCATAGGAGAAGTCACATTTACTTAGTATTTACCATACAGAGGGTGGGCACCATGCCAAGTAGAGCCTTGGAGCAGCATCCACGGGTCCCTGTTTGGGAAATATTTTTATCGGTTTCTTCCTTTTAAATGTCACTGGCCTTGAGTGATAGGCTGCAGAGAGCCGGGCCTCAGCGTTTTAGTGCCTCGCCCTGGGTGGGCCTGCTTCCTCTACCGCTTAACGAGCCCATGATTCATCGTTCTCTTGCTAGAAGTAGAAGCAAATTTCAAAAACCTTCTCACACTTTATAATTTACCACGCCCCTTCTCACATATCATGCCCCCTGACATCATGCAGTCCTCCTCAGAACCCCGAGAAGAAGGTCTCGTCGTCAGCCCAGTCTCTGTGTCACACCGAATGGCAACAAGTCCCAGAAACCTGACCGTGCCAAGACTGGGACCCTTGTGTTCTGACTGCGAAGACTGTGCTTTCACTCCGTGACGTGCTCCTGTTTCTAAAACCTAAGTTGGTGAGAATCCAGAGCGGAGTTCTCATTCGGCGACGGGCGAGGAGTTAAGGTGTCAGTTAAGGTGACACATACGTAAAATAGCAGTGGCTTAAGTAAGACAGAAGTTTATTCCCCTCTCACAGTCAAGAAATATAAAGAAAATCAGTCCAGCATCTGTATTATTTTGATTTCCGGTGTACATTCCCAAAGTCATCTCAAGGTCCACTTGGGCTTTTGGAGCTCAGCCATTCCATCTGCATTTCAGGCCAGCGGGAAAGAGAAACGGAAAAAGAATTATAGGGAAAAAAACAAATAAACAAAAAAAAACAGAACATTCCAACACTGCAGATGCCACTTCTGCTTGTGTCCATTTGGCCTGGTCGTAAACACACAGCCAGCCACACAGAGCGGCACGAAAGAATGCGAAATTTTATTATGGACGACCACGTGTCCATCCAAAAAGGGGTTTATAACTACAAGGAAGGGAAGAAGAGTGGGCGCTGGGAGCTACCTGTCTCTACTGGCTGTTACATCGCCCGTTTTTGCCAAAATGCCTAATGGAGTACTATTTTGTATCTCTTTTTTTCCATTGTGGAATTCTCCTAGAATTCGACAATTTTCTAGTTTGAATTTTATATATATATATATTTAGAGGTTAAAGCTCCTGTTTCTTTAAGCTTTCTTTTCTAGTCTTTTATATTTAATTAGCTATTGGTCTAATATCTGTTAATTTAACCTAATTACAGTCTAACCCTGTACAGAGGAGGCCTGGGGGGAAAAGTCCTATTTTTTTCAAAACGGACAAGACATCTAAACAGGATTCACTTTTTAAAGCTCAGTCTTAGTGGGAGGAAAATCATGCTCGTGACCACTTTACACACAGGCATTTGTGTCTTTTTCAGAACTTCACCTTTCACAAATTTTATGACTATGACCTTGACCCATTCTTAACACAGCACCAACTATGTGGCGGCCACGTGCCAAGCACTGTGTCTGCTTGAGAAAATACACATGAAGGAAGCATGGTGCCTGGGAGAGGCCTCCAGTCTGGTGGCAGAGACAGAGCAGAAGCACATCGTTGGATAAGTTATGACCTCAGGCTGGTGAGTCAGCTGACTGTGGCGTCGCCGAACGTGCGCGAGCCCCAGCAAACTGCCCTCCACGAGGGGGCCAGGGGAGGGCTTCCGGTCCCTCCAGGTGAGAAACTCAACACCAGCAGAGACGATGAGAAAAGGCAGAAGCGATTTCAACCGCACTTCGAAAACGTATACCGCCACTAGTTCACTTTAAATTCCTAAACTGTCAGGCGCAGAGGCCCCCAGCCTCAGAATCGGATGACCCCCCCTAGAGGCGCACGCTGAACAGCACCTCCTTATCTAGCGAAACACAAAATTTTCCTCCAGTCGGAGCCTTAGGGAAGGGCCAGACTGCGGGAGAACCATGTGCCCGTGGGCAGGGCCTTGTCCCATCCGTGCCAGGATCAGAGTGGGCAAAGTGTGACCTGACGTGACCCCGCAGACGCAGAGTTCACGAACAGAGAGATGCTTGAAGCTTGGGGGTGTTTGGGGAGTTTAGGCCTTGATGACAATTTGAGGCTAGAAGGGCCGGCACCCACATAGGGACAGCGGGACTCGAAAGAAAGGAGGAATATAATCAGTTACGCAAGAAGAATCAACATCGGTCAAGAGGAGACGCTGAGAGGAACTGCAGTTTTCAACCCTGATGGGGAGCCATCTCCATTCCATGCAGTGACCATGGCGGGACTGATGCGTCTTGGGACCCGGGCATCGTGCTGGGGTGACAGGAACAGTAAGAGTTCCCACCCTCACGGGCTTCTTCCCGGGAGGAAGATGGACATCTAAACAAATAGTGTTGCCATGTAATGAATGCTGTGTCGGGGAACATGCCAAGGGTTGGGGTCTCAGGTAGGGCGGCCATTGATGAAGCTGGAAGGCGGACAGGTGTGTCACAGGACGCACTCGAGGGCAGTGCTGTTTTAACCATCCGCTACCCAGGCGAGCAAGCTGGGCCGAGTCATTTCAGGCAGGAGGGGCTGCCTGACGGCGAGACGAGCAGAGGGCCAGGGAGCGGCCAGGACGAAGCTGGGAGGG